GCACTAGACACCCTTTTCTTTAACTCAAAGGCTTTTGGCCTCCGCAGTGTTTGTAATTCTGTCCTTCTCTTCATTAACTACTCCCTTACTGATCCTTCTTATCCAAGATACTGAACCTATATCTTCAACCCTCACTTTTAAAATATATCCTATTTCATTACCAACTGCCTACTATGCCTTTCTAGTTATAACTGTCATCACTGAAAATTGAACATTTCTAAAAGCTGTTTCTTTTAGAAAGAAAACATCACTGTTTTCTTCAAATCAGCACCCTTCTATGGCTTTATTTTTGACGTATCCAACATTTTTCTGTCAGTCATTTCCCTCTTCATCTAAGCCAGAAGCATCAACTGTCTTTCACTCTTCATTGTCGCTTGCTTGATAGCCAGCATATTTATCAAGTTATTATCATATACATAGCATATTTCTAGTGCTTTTTAATATGTTCAGACCTGGACATATATAGCCTACTATCTATTTTTATTTCTTCAGTGGGTGCTCTGCTGAATAGCCTACTATCTAATTTTTCTTTCATTATTTTTCTTTATGATCCTGCCAGATTGACATTGCAGCCCATTGCTTCATCAGATTTAAAGCGTTCAGAGGCTTCCAGTTAGATTTAGGATAGAGAATAAACTTCTTACCCTAAAATTCAGTCCTATTTCTGTCACTGTCATAATCTGGTTGTAGACTTGATCTCACACCCAAAATACTTCCCCTTTCCTAAAAATAGTCTTTAAAATTTTTATATTACTTTTGCTTATATAATACAGTATTAACTGGAACATTCTTCTCCAGTGTTCCCCTCATTCAGAGCTATCTAAACCCCTTACATTCCTTCAGTCTAATCTCTAGCACGAAACTTTATCCAAACGTCCTATCCCATAGTGATTTTGCCTTTCATTGAACTACTGAAACACTTATTTTTCATAAGCATTCGTTTAGGGTTTTTTCTACTGCCATATATTATTGATATACCTTGACACATGTGTGTATTCTAGATGGTTATGTATGTGTCTCGTTGCCACAGATAAACTTTAAATTTTCTTAGGACAAAACTCTCTTACACTGCTCAGTGTCTATCACTGAGTACCTTGCATATCACACCTTGTGTTTAACATATTTTAAAAATAAGATGTAGATAGTCAAAGATGACTGCCAAAAAAAAGTAATAAAAAGAAAAATAAGACGTAGATAATGTATTGTTTATTTCATGTTTTAAAAAGCATTTTATATGTAAATATGCACATATGTAAATTTATCTGTTATACAAATTAGTCTCTAGGCATTCATCTTTCTGTCTAAATGTAAAACGAATTGCATACTTTTGTTAAAAAATTAAATTACTAGGAAATTTATAATTAGTAGCATGAACATTATTTACCATTTGTTATTTTGCCAAGAAATATGTGGCTTAATATCTGTTTTCATAAGAGGAATTTTATTTACCCACTGTAATTATTCTTTAAAACTATTTTTTTTTAATATATTTGGCCAGTAGTTTCCTTTCACCTGACAAGAGCTTATCTCTATGCTTGGAGATAGCTCTGAGGTGAATCATCATGGTTTTAGCCCATGATAAGACTGACACCATCATGATTCAGCTCAGAGTTATCCAACAAAACTATCTTAGAATCCTCCCGACATGCAAAAAAAAGGAACTACATTGTAACTGTAGCAATTTAGATAATTCTAAAAGTTGAACAGAGTTGGAAATGGGAGTTAAAATATATAAGAATTAAACATTTAAATTTAAGTAGTTCTAAGTTTGAAGCTTAATCTTATTTTTAAAATATAAAAAAAAAAAATTAAGCAAGCAAAGAAATGATTGATATTTGAACAGCTCAGCTGAAGTTACAAGCATGCACTTTCTTATGTGGTACTAACCTGTCTGCCTATAATTGACATTCCCTTACTTTACTTCTGTATTCATCTAGGATAGGAATTTGTAACCTGCAGTCCTTAGATGGAAGTTGATTTCTGTTTTACAAAATGTTTATGTGCATTTTTCTGGGAAGAAGTTCTATAACTTACCTAGTACCCAACAGGATCCATAGCCCCCCAAAAGAGCTTAGTATCTTTACTCCAACCACACACATCTTTTCCTTTGTCCTTGTGACACAGCCTTTTACATATCCTAAAGTCTTAATCTTTTCTTCTTTCCTAAGTATGTCTTCTCTGGCCTAATACTCCTACATTCCTCAGCTCTTTCTTACATAACATGAATTCTACACCCTTCAACAATCTCACCAGGCCTTGATTTCCTTTATCCAGGTAAGTCCTACTAATTTGTCAATGTGCCTCATAAAATGTGGCACCCAAAATTGGACACTTTTATAGTCAATTATGTAGATGATGCTGAGCTACAATCTTTCTTTTTCAGAATACTACATATATATTAATATGGACTGATGATTTCCTTCGCATGTGAGACACTGCACAGACATGCATGCACATTACACACCGCTCAGTTAGTCCTGACTAATCACTGATATGCTATGTGGTCTAGGAGTTTCTCTGTACCATTCTTCTAATTATTTTTTAAAAGGCTTATACCACTTACCAAACAAATGTATAGTTATTCAACAGACCTCATGCTGTTTTATGGGGTTTTTTTTGTATTTAATTGTAGGTTGGTTGGACATTACTTTTAATGGCAGAAACCGCAATCACTTTCACACCTACCTAATATATAAAAAGATAAGAATTTGGATGACTTTCAGCTTGCTTATTAGAGACAGTTATAATCTGGTCTCATGTTTTTTCTATTTGTTATTCCTTTACCATCCACTTTGTAAGCACTTTGAAAGTAACCTTCCTCTCCAAAGGAATCCCAGGCCTGAATCTGATGCCTCTTTTCCTCATAAAACCAACAGAGTTGGCTTATTTCAAACCGTGTTCCCAATTTTCAGGATTGGATTTAAAATTCTTTGTGCTTTTGCCTGCTCTTATGTATTTGATTGATTTGGGAGAACTCAGATTAGATATAAGATTCTCAAAATGTGTTTTTCATAAAACAGAATATGGCTAACAATGTATTTTTGTGATTTTTACATGAGGCAAATACCAATGTTAATTTATAACTAAGTATCACCAAATGATATTAAAGTGCCATAGATTACATACCTAGATAATTAGATATAATTAATGTATAATATTAGTAGGTTTATTTATTTTGCACAGTTTTTAAAAAGTAGCTTAGCATTAGTTCTACATCTCAGATACTGATTTAGGTATGAATAAAGAATCTGTTAAATAATACTTAATTGACTTCGTTTTTAAATCATTTCAATTAAAATTAAATACTGGAAATAATTCTGAAATATTGTTATGCTTTTACACTGAGGAATTTTGGAAACAAACCTGACTTAACTTTTGCTAAGTAGATCAATTAAGTATACAGTCAACTCTCGATTATTCAAACTAATGGAGGAAAGGATAGAACAAGCATTAATGTTTCTCTAGTTGCTGCCCCCTCAGACAGTTGCTTAAAGACTCATTCCAAAGAAATATTTTGGCTTTTCATCTTATCCTATTATATTTTCTAGCCCTTGTATTCAGGATTTAGTCTGAAATACAGGTTACAACTGAGTTGGCAAGAAAGTTTCATGTTAGCACATTCTGCTTTTCTTCATTTACATTTTTAAAATTAGTGCCTTTGCATTGCTGTTGTGTTATTAAAATTCACATGAAAATTTGATAGAATTGCTAGTAGGATATTATGTTGGTGGCTCCTAAAGGTAGTTGTATATAAAAAGTCTTATCTTTGAATTGCAACTCACAGATAATTATAACCTTTCAAAAGCATTACCTCACGGTACCAAATAACTTTAAAAAATTTTTAACATAAAAAATTTTATGAGAAAGTTTTTATCTTGAAAAGGTTTTTATAGAAATTCTTCCAACTTTTGAAATTCTTAATGTGTGTAATATTTCTGAGTACTATGTAAGTGTTTGTAAAGTGAAGAAATGCCAAAGGAATTTATGTGTGGAAACATTATGTTGTGTGTATATAATACGTCATTTTCTCTACCAATTAACAGCACATAGTGTGCTAGTATCCAGACATAAGTATTCATGGGAATGCATGTATCTGGATAACCACAAGTTGAAATAAACCCACCTGCCTTTTATTTCAATAACTGCACATTCAAATCCAGCTAAGACATTTTTTGAATGTGACCTCTGTATATGTGAGAGAATACTGTTTTCAGCATTTGAGTTTTTTTGTTGGTGTTTTGTTGTTGGTGGTTGAAATCTAAAGTGAATACAAACTTATGGATAATGCTTCTCTGGAAAACTTTGCATGCAGAGAAAAGGAAATTCAAAGATAAATCCTATTAAAAACGTTGAATTGTTTTGTCTTACTATGTTTTCCCTCAGTGTGTATTGTGCTAGGTTCTTGCAGAATGTAGCAGTGTTTAAAGCCAAAGTAGTGCAACCTATAAATTGACGTGGAGTTGGGCCTTCTTTAAGTTAAATAATTTAATATTTTTTTTCCAGAATAAAATTGCTCGTCTTTCATTTGGAGTATTTTTTAATTGCTAGTCTTTCATTTGGAGTGTTTTTGAAGCTATTTCCTTGAAGGGCCTTCTACAGTATATATATATATGAGCTTTAAGGAATCATGTTTTCTGTTAGACAGCAGAAGTGTTTGTCACAAGGCTTGTTTTAACGTCTGTATTGTGGTTTCATCTGCATCTTCCTTCCCCAAATTAGGCCATATTTCTGTGTAGTTAGTTTTACCTGACATGAGCCTGAAAATTAAATAAGATTTCTCTAGCAGTCTTAACTTTGAATTTCCTGCTTTTCATTGCATGTAAACTATCAACCACAAATAATAGTTTCAGTTCAAGTTCTAGCTTGTATTTGCATGATAAAGCTACAAAAAGTCTCTTAATGCTGGAAAGAATTTATAGCTACTGTTCTGCTATTGCCTAATTGTTAAAATGTATAAATAAAGACAATTTTATTTATGTAGACTTGTCTTTCTGCCTTAGGGAGTGAACTACTTTATGTCCAAGGGTATCCTAGATGATTCGCCAAAGGAAATAGCAAAGTTTATCTTCTGTACAAGAACTCTAAATTGGAAAAAACTGAGAATCTATCTTGATGAAAGGTAAAAATGAAAATTAACTTTTCATCTGAAATAAGTTAAATAATGCTTTTGATGAGTTAAGTTTTACTTTAAAAACTAATACCACATAGTAATCATCTGATTGCAAAATTGAGTAAAGACAGGGAAAAGATTCCTGTATCTCTTATATCATTTCTTTTATGAGCTTTAACTTGCTGATGAGGAAGTTGCCATTGTAAAAGTGAGAAAAAGTCCAACCCCAACGTCTTTGTAGTAGCAAACCAAAGCAAAATATTTTTGAGGAATCTGTAACCCTGAGTTTTTAAAATAAGTAGCCATAATCTAAGCGTTTATATTGGTAAAAGTTCTGAATTATGAAATTAACCATATAAAAATCTAGTGTAAAGACAAATTATAGTCATAAACCCCAAATCCTGGGGATATGTTTTCTATATATATATTTGCATGTAGATACTAATAGAAATGTCATGTTCAAATGTGAAAATTAGGAAAATGTAACATGTAGCGGTGTTTTACACAGAGATGCTGGTTAGTATACTGTTCTGATTTGATAGTTATTCATTTGTACACTTTACTTTTGGTTATTAATGACCGTAAAATATTGGGACAACATTTGGATGCAACATTGAACTACCATTTTTAAAATTATGTATATCATGCCAATCTAATGTATGGCTTCAAAATATGTTTACCTTCATTGTAATTCTCAAATGTTTGTGTATCTCAGGATTTTTCAACAACAATCTGTAAATGTTCATTATATTATAGAAACTTTGCTAGAGTAGTAGCCCACGGATGATTATGACGTTATCCCTGACTTTGAGAAGTTCACAGTTCAGCATACTAGTCATTGAAGATGTAAAGACGGCATCAAGTTTTTTGTGTTTAAGTGCCTAGTACCTAGGGATTCACAGGGCTTTTTTTTCTTTTTCTTTCTTTCTTTGTTTTTTTTTTTTGTAAAGAACCTTACCTTTTTGTAATATTTTAGGTTTTGTGGGTCATACAGTCTTTGTCACAGCTACTTATAACTCTGCCATTCTGTGGTAAAAGCAGTCATAGACAATACATACACAAACTAGTGTGACTGTGTTCTAATAAGCCGTATTTACAAAAGCAGGTGGCAGGCCAGATTTGGCCTAGTAGCTGTAGTTCGCCTATTCCTGTTGTTATATGCAATTGACAGAAGTTGAAGATTATGATTATATAATCATGGTTGAGTTCAATAAGAACTGTAACAAAGTGTGACTCTATATTGGAATGCTAGTGATTTTTAAAAATTATATATACACACACAAATATTTATATCATAGTAGATAAGCTAAATGTTTATGAATAGGATTGTTGTTTCCATTAGATAAGATACTGTGAAGCCATTAAAAAAAATTAAGCCCCTCTAAGTGTAAAGATTTAAAAAGCTGTTCACAATACACTATATGAAAAAAGCAAAAACAAATTCTAAAACAACGCATAGCATATATAGGCATTCTTAAAAGTCTATATAAATAGTTATTACTCTGGAGATGTGAATTGGTTTAAGTGGAGACTGTCATTACTTTCATAATTTGAAAAATAAACAATTTTATTGCTATTTGGATTTAGTCAAGAAGAAACTTAAGAAGTTACTCATTTTAATACTACAAAATTCCTTTTTTCTTCATTTTAGAAGTAAAATTGCTAGGTTTTACCTTGTTTTGTTTTGTTGTAAACTACTCATGAGATATTTCAAAGTTAACTGCTTAAATAATCATACTTAGATTTTTTAATTTTAGGAATTATATATACTTTTATAGGATTAGCTAATCTAGCAAACAATAATATGGTATTTTTATCCATAAAAATGGCAATTTGTTGTTTTTTCTTTCTATAGGAGAGATGTCTTGGATGACCTTGTAACGTTGCATAATTTTAGAAATCAGTTCTTGCCAAATGCACTGAGAGAATTTTTTCGTCATATCCATGCCCCTGAAGAGCGTGGAGAGTATCTTGAAACTCTTATAACAAAGTTCTCACATAGGTTCTGTGCTTGTAACCCTGATTTAATGAGAGAACTTGGCCTTAGTCCCGGTAAGAATACATATATTAATAGTGCCTCACCCCCTGCCCACCTTTAGGTAAAAACAGAGACATATGAAATATTTGTCTCACTGTGGGGACAAATTTCTCAGTAATTACAAATACTTGTTTTACTGTTTGCAGCAATGACTGACTACATCATTTATGTGAGCTTAGAAAAAATAATTTGTGATAGCTATTTGTTTGCATGTGAGTGTGTGTGTGTACATATATATGTACATAGCTATGTATATATAGTCATTTATATTTTTTATATATCATACAAATTTATATATATAAATGTCTATGTATGTAGAATATATATTACTAATTTATATATATATACACAAATGTCTATGTGTATATATGTCTATATACATATATACATATACATAGCAGTATATACATATACATAGCTATTGTGCATGTATGTATATGGGTATATGTATATACAAAGAATTCTATAGAATACATATACACATATCACATAGAATACTTACACATGAAATATGTATTTAAAATAAGCAGTCTTTTTCCTTCCAGATACTATGTACTGTGCTTTTCTTTGATTCTACTTTCCACTAAAACTGTGTGTGTGTGTGTGTGTGTGTGTATGCACACAATAGCTATACATACACATATATACATACATGAACATATATATTCACACACACATATCCTTTTTTTTTCCTGTTGCTTTGAACAAAAACACATACACTGTTTTAAGAAAGTAGCTACGTAAGTTCTTTAAGAAACTATTCTAGTTTGGGTGTTAGATATTTTTACTAGTCCAATTGAAAACTTGAGAAATTATTTTTAAAGTTTTTAATAGTCTGCATATTACATAGGTAGCACCATTTTTCACTAAAATTTGGTTTTAATACAACTGGTTTTCATTGTTTGTGTGTGCCTCTCTCTATATGTATATGTTTGTGTGCATATGATATAGCCTGAATCTCCTACATATTTTTTCAGTTGGTATAGCTTCACTTTTCATAGCAAAAATTTTATTGTGCTTATCTTATTAAACAGAGATTACAAAAATGTTCCTGTCATGTGAAATTTGTTGAGCATACTTTACAAGACATAATGTTCAAGTTGGCTTTCTTAAGACTAAAGGATTCCGAAATAGCACCACAATAGTAGAACCATCATGATGTTTGTTACTATTTTAGTATTAAACATTAGATATTTCCCTAGGCATATATAAAATCTTGCTGCATGGTGTTCAGGTGTAGCAGTCTTTTTTCTAAATATTTGCTTTTGAAATTAATATGTAAATTCCACAGGCCTTTAAAACATGTATCTTAAATAAGAATATTAATATTTTGAGTTATTGCATTTTATTTTCTAGTACCAGGTTAATATGCTTTCTTGTCATTACAGATGCTTCCAAATTAAATTGGGTTTTTGTAAAAGCATTCTATATAAATTTTTTAGAGAAGATAAATACTGACAGTATAAATGTATTTTATGGATAGTAGAATAGAAATATCACATTTGAAAGCATAGATGAAAAGAAAGCCAATTCTAAAATGTTCAAATCTAGAATTAATATTTACTATAAACTTCTAAACTGTCCTAAAGTTCTTTTGAAATGAAAGAAAGGCATGCTTAATTAGTATTAGGATGATAACCATCCTGGTTTGCTCAGGACTGAGTTTCCCAGGATGACAGGACTTGCAATGCTAGACTGGGAACAGCCTAAACAAACTGGGATGGATTGGTCACTCTATATTTATGAGCTAATTGCCTTATATGATGCCCTTGGAATCATATTTTGTAAACCAACTAATAATTTGAAGTGTTTCTTTTTCCTTTCAGATGCTGTCTATGTACTGTGCTACTCTTTGATTCTACTTTCCATTGACCTCACTAGCCCTCATGTGAAGAATAAAATGTCAAAAAGAGAATTTATTCGAAATACCCGTCGCGCTGCTCAGAATATTAGTGAAGATTTTGTAGGGCACCTTTATGACAATATCTACCTTATTGGCCATGTGGCTGCATAAAAGCACAATTGCTAGGACTTCAAGTTTTTACTTCAGACTAAAGCTACCCAAGGACTTAGCAGATGTGGGGGTTACATCAGCGTTGGTCATTGTAGCCTGTGTATACAATCAAGCTTCAGTGTACAACCTTTTTTCTTTTGTCATTTTTTATTTTGGTAATTTCTTTGGGGAACTAAATAATTTTGAAGAATTTTTCCTAATTTTGTTTATCATGTTTTGCACAAAGCAGAGCCATTGTCTAACACAGCTGTTAAAGAATGATAAACTGACATACTCTAAAAGATGGTGTATTTGTGCATTAGATTTGCCTGAAAAATTTTATCCATTTCCATTCTTTATACAAATACCATGTAATATGTACATATTAAACTAAAGAGATTTATAGTCATAATTATTTTATTTTAAAGATTTTAACTAAAGTTTTTCCTTTTCTCTCAAACTGAGTTCTGAAATTTATTTGATTCTGATCTGAAGTTATTATCTTCATAAAAGTGGATCTGACTAAAGATAGAAACAAATACCAGCTTCCTTTTCCTTTAAACTTTGAAGAGTGTTGATTTTATTACTATATTACTATGCAAAACTGGCACTTATTTTTATAATATAAATTTATAATTTGATTTATTATTTTAAAAACTGGGTTAATCAAGTCTCAGTAAGTTCTTTAAACCATTTAGGATTTTTTAAAAGATCAAAATTTATGATTTACATTATAGGAATAAAATAAAATATTAGAAGTCTTATAAATGTTTTCTTGCTTATATGTGATGTGATTATGCAAACTACTGTTTTTCTAATCTCGATGATCTCTGTGCAGAGTCCATTGAGAAAGAGATACTGTGAAGAACAGTGAACACTCTACTCATTGATTCAGTGATTATCTATTCAGGGCTTTACATGTATTTACACTGTGCTAAGTGCTAGACATGGGCCCTGCTCTCACAGATGTTACATAACTGGATACTAAGAAGAAAAATTCGCTTAGTGGAGAGCAACTATATGAAGTATATCTTAATTAACAATTATTTAATAATTAAAGTATGCAGCATTAGAATGATAGAGAACAGTGTATTTATATGGTGAGTTAAGGTGACCTCTAAGTAAAAAGCATATAACCTTAGGAGGGAGCTGAGGGAGATAGTGAATCCTGGCTTCCTTCCACATCTGACCCTTAGTCAAAACTGGTTGTCAGTATTACAACTGGAATGTTGTACTACAGATTTTTCAAGGACAAGACATAAGATCATGAAATTTCAGATGTCTAAGGGACTTTTAGACTGATAGTAAATAATTTCTAACACTCTGAAGCAGATATCCAAATCATGTTTAAGTGTGCATAATTTTGAATTCCATGACAATTCTAATTTTTAACTTCAAAACTGCTTTATTATATTTCAAAAGACAAAGGGTGGTGTTAACTATTATTTATTGTCATTCCTGTTTTCCAGTGATTGGCACTTTGCCCTCTCCCTCTGTCTACCTCCTATCTTTTCTTCTTTGTTTTTCTTCATACGTGTCTCACTCTTACCATCCAGTTTTCTCTGCTTCTGTTTTGCCTCTTTTCCTTGTTTTTGTATCCTCCATTTCCTAATTTCTTCTTTTTCCTATTTTATTTTTCCACCCTGACCTGATTATGAATATGGATTGGCAATAATTGCTTTCCAATATTTTCTTAGGAAAATTTCAAGCACAGAGAAAATTGGGGCCAGGTACAGTGGCTCATTCCTTTAATCCCAGCACTTTGGGAGGCCAAGGTGGGAGGATTGCTTGAGCCCAGGAGTTTGAGATCAGCATGGGCAACATAGCAAGACCACATTTCTACTAAAAGATAAAAATTTAGCCAGGTGTGGGAGTACACACCTGTCTGTAGTCCTGGCTACTCCAGAGGCTGAGGTAGGAGGATGACTTGAGCCCAGGAGTTCCAGTTTGCAGTGAGCGATGATTGCCACTACACTCCAGCCTAGGCAACAGAGCAAGACCCTGTCTCAAAATTTAGAAATAAAATAAATTTTAAAATAGAAAAGTGGAAATATTTTGCAGAGAATGCCTATGTTCTTACCACCTGTGTTCTACAATGAAAATTTTACTGTATTCACTAAATCACGTTTATCCATTCCTCCATCAATCAACCTATTATTTTGATACAGCTCAAAATAAGTGTTAAACGTAAGTATGCTTTCTTCCTAAAGACTTAAACTTGTATATCATTAGCTAGAGAGCAACTCTTAGCTTTTTCCTTTTCTTTTCTTTTTTTTTGAGACTAGAGTCTCGCTCTGTTATCCAGGATGAAGTGCAGTGGCACAATCTTGGTTCACTGCAACCTCCACCTCCCTGGTTCAAGCAATTCTGCCTCAGCTTCCCGAGTAACTGGGACTACAGGTGCATACCAGCACACCCAGCTAATTTTTTGTATTTTTAGTAGAGACAGGGTTTCACTGTGTTAGCCAGGATGGTCTTGATCTCCTGACCTCATGATCCACCCACCTCAGCCTCCCAAAGTGCTGGGATCACAGGTGTGAGTCACCGCGCCCAGCCGGCTTTTCTTGTTTGAGGTAAAATTTATATGTACTAATCAATGAGTCTCTCAAATGCATGTATACTAGAGCAAACCAAACCCAGTTCAGAATGTACAACTTTATAGCCTATTTACAGATAATATTGTACTATATAACATAAAATATAGAAAACTTATAACTATATAGGCCTCTTTACCCTGACCCCCATCCATTATCTTATTAAATGTATTACACATAGTGCATGTTATAAAATAGTGCATGTTATAAACTCCAAAAAAATAGAATGTTACAATTTGTTTTGAACAGGCATATTCATTTAAGAAAAAACAATGTTATTTTATATTTACCCAAATTATCATTTCTGCTGTTCTTATTTATTCCTGAAAATCCAAGTTACCTTGTAATATCTTTCCTTTCAAACTGAAAAACTTCAACATCTATAGTTCAGATCTCCTGGAAATTAAGTATGACAAATGTTAAAATCTGAAAATGTCTTTATTTTGTTTTCCTTCCTGAGGAATATTTTTGCTGAATATATAATTCTAGATTAAATTCCCCACCCCACTTTCGACAGTTTAAGGTTATTATTCCAGTTTCCTGACCTCCATTTTTTCCAATGAGAAGTCATTAGTTTTCAAATGGTTTTTCCCCTGTGAACAAATGTAATTTTCCTCTGAGTGCTTTATTTCATCAATTTTTTTTTCAATCTCCTTTTCTCCTCCTGGGACTGCATTTATGAATATGCTAGACCTTTTGATACTGTCTCCCGGGTTTTTGAGGCTCCTGATTTTTCATCTTTTTTTTTTCAATTGGAGTTTTTTCAGTTGATCTGTACAGTCCAACTCACTGATTCTTCTGTACTCATTCTCTTTTAAGCCCATTCAATGAACTTTTATTCTATTTATTGTATGTTTTAGTTCTGGAAATTCTATTTAGTTTTTATATTTCTGTTCTGAGATTTTTTTATCTTTTCATTTATTACAAGTGTATTTTTCCTTGCACCCTTTAGCATAGTTATAATGGCTACTTTACGATACTTGCCAGCTCATTTTAGTATTCTATTTTCATATTCCATACTTGTCTGTTTTAATATTTAGTTTTTTAATATTCAGTATTTTCAGTATTAAATATTTCAGTCTTCAATTTTCAAAATTTTCATTTTTATATATTGGATGAATATATTTTTTCAATATTCTGAATCATTTCATTGTCAGCCTTCTCTGATTTTCTTTTCTTTTGAGAATGGGTTACATCATTTTCCTGTTTCTTCATATGTTGAGTAATTTAGATTATGACCCGACATGGTAAGTAAGATATTGCAGAAACCCTGGATTTTTATTTGTTTCTCCAAAGACTTTTTTTTTTAAGCAGGCAGTTAGTTTGGCCAAACTCCCAGCTGCAAACTTTGGTTCCCCTAGAGTTAGTAGCAGCTGAAATTTTAATTCAGATTTTTAACCTGGGTACTGTACTTGAAATCTGTTGTGTAAATGCATGCTTGAGAGACCAGCCAGAAATTTTGGCAGAGTCATACACAGAATTTAGGACTCTCTCTGTTGGTTCTTTTCTTATCAGGATTTCCCTCTGCATTTTCCAGCAGCTACCTTAATCCTATGTTCAAGTCAATACAATATAAGCACCACATGATGCAAGGTAAGGCATTGCCTCAGGCTAAGAGATATAAAAGTGGGGCACTCACCCAATGCCATTTCTTCTAGGTACTCACTCCTCTGTAGGATAAGCCTGCTTTTGGTTGTTTTCTATTACTTTCAATTCGCTGATTTTTAAATATTTTGTCCAGAGTTGTAATTTTATATGTTGGCAGGTTGGTATGAAAGAACTTCTTGACCATCACTTGAAGTGGAACCCTCTCCAATTAGGTAGTATTCTTTTTACTACTTCGTGTGATTACTAAGTAGAGGTTTGTTCCTGATTATTTTTAAATCTAGGTGAGTATAGAAATTTTTAACTTGTTCCATCTGTGAAAAACCTTAATAAACATTTAGTAAATGTTTACCAAATTAGCAATCCAGCATTTCCCATTGGGTGTCCTACTGCCTTTGGGGGAAAGATATTCTTTCACGAGAGATGGCTCCATGCAGTATATGACATAAGCAGGCCTAGATTTTGCCTACTAAATGCCAGTAGCATACCCTAGTCATTTTGACATGCAAATAATGTTCCCACACATTTCTAAGTGCCTGCTGGGGAGACAAATCACCTGAAGATGAGAATGATTGCATTTTCTTTCAGATGTATCAAAGTTATTATTCTTAAACATAAACCTCCTGATGACACATCTATTTAAAGTCTTTCAGTGTCACCCTTTGTCCTGCAAAATAAGGGTAGCCTCCTTGGCATGGAATATAAAACCTTCACAATCTTGCCCCACCTTCTTAAAGTTTCATCTCCAACCATGTTCCTCAGCTCTGGTCTGGTCTTTTTTGCCTTTTATCAGCTTGCTTGCTTTCTCTGGTTTCTTTTTTTCCCATCTGTATCTAAAGTTCTCCTGCTAATCATTCAAGATCTATGTCAGATGTAATTTCTTTATCAACACTTTCAAGGATTGTCTGTCATATATACCATCATGTTAATTGCTTCTTTCTCTGCAAACCGTAGCACTTTGTGCATATCTTTATTATAATAATTCACTATAATTTTCTACATATCCAGCTCCTTCATTAGATGTGATCTTCTCAAGGTCAAGGATTGCTCCCAGCCTGTTATGTTCTTACTGTGAAACCTGAACTAGGTAAGTGGCAGATGGCTTAGAAAGAAAGAATGGGGAACGATCCAAGATGGCCGATTGCTAACATCTCGGGATTGCAGCTCCCTGCAAAAGCTCAGACAAGGAGAGGACGCCACACTTTCAGACAAATTTTGGTCACTCACAGAACAGAAGATTCCCAGTGGAGGAGCTCCACGG